TTATGTCTGTGAAGGTAAACAGCTGGGAAATAAATCGCATGTTTGTTTTAGATCTGTGTGGCAGCAGCAATATACAGTAAATAAATCAATAAATGCACTGCTCTGTTGTCTCTGAGGCTGGGACTCTAAACAGTGTTCTGTGCTTGTCTGTGCAGCTAAACACAGAACAGTTAGCATGCTTCGCTCAAACTTTCTCCATGGCATTAAAGCTAGTACACCGTTGTCGCTTGCGAAATCAAAATGACGGCGCCGTGGGTGTAAACTTACAGATTATGGGGTGGTAATATTATAATGAGATCCCTTTGCCACGTCACCAAGGGAGCGAAATCAGACGCGCTCGTTTTCTCAGACGCTTGCAGAAAAAGGCTTCCCAAAACAAAGTTACTGGGTTAATCTTCACGTTTCCTTGGTTGGTAGATGCACCGGGGACCTGATTATAGCACTTAAAACCTGGAAAAGTCAGATTTTCATGATATGTCACCTTTAAGAGCTGCACGCATCTAATATACAGGCACGCATCCGTTTTTCTCTCAACTGTTTACTTTCATTTTAGACATAACCAGCTGAGTCTATGTAAACCTTGTGTGTTTTGACAGTATTAGCGCAAAAGATAACTTAGTCCAGTAATCAGGCGCTGTTTGACAGGCTTTTTAGTGCGCGTGCTTCGGGTGTACATGCTCAGAAAAAGAGCATGCCGTAGCAGCGCGTGAATGAAAAGTTTAACCGACAAGGCTTTAAAGCACATGCAAATAATGTACTTTTATGATTATGAATAAGTACAGTCTCCTGTGAGAGTAACTCTGCCTCTGAGTTAACACTGATGTGAATATATGTCGCGTTGTACAGTAACGTTATATATAATACATTTAGACCACTTATCTTAGTGATTGCTATCAGGATGTGAAGAGACTTTTAACCAGCATAACAAAACATGGTTTTTAACCAAATCACCTACAGTATTTCCGCTACATTCATTCTTCAGTGATGGGCCGCCACACCAAAAATCATCCCCGCCACGGCGGAGGAGACAGCGCAGGACTTGAATTTCGGCGTGGGATTGCGGGTATTGCGCATCATTCTACTCATTCCTGCAGGTTCCGCGCTTGACAGATGATGAAAAAAAAGCAAAAAGACGTGAAATTGAACTCAATACAGTACTCGCACACTCCCACACCCAAAGCGTGCGCACATCAGCCGCCTCTGAAACAGCGACTACAGAATTGAGTTATGTTTTGCGCCTTATTGCGTGTAAACGGCCAAATACATACAAAATTGTCAAAATGCCCATCTTGGCGAGTATTCGCGTAAATACAGTCGGTGTATAGGCTGTTAAGTGAATCTAAATCGTTCAGAAGCAAAGCACACGTGTAACATTATATTATATCCGTGCCTGAGGTCTTAAAGAGACAGCAGCCAAAATAAACCTGTCTGTGTCATTACTGTTTATTTACAGTTAAGACTATCTAGTGTATTTACAGTTGAATAGATTATTCAGTTTCTGTAGTACCTAAATATTACTGTTAGACCTACCTGAAAAACGTAAAATTGTTTTTTGTTTGTGCTATTGCTTGTCATTGATTTATTTGTTCTTTATTATTATTGTTTACTTGTCTTTTTTTTGTTTAAGTGCACGTGATTCTTGGGTGGGGAGGTCTAACCACCAGGGGAAGGGGGAATGGTCCATGGGTAATAGTCCTGCCACCACAGCTGGAAAAAATCCTAGAGGAAACACTGACCTACCCTGCCTTTAATGGAACATTTGTTATCTGTTACCTTTCATGGAAACAAATTATAAAAAAAGAATGGCGGACATTTAGGCGAAGATACAAATTTTTGTCATTATTTTGTCATTAATATATTTGTCATTATTTTATCTCAAGAACAAAGATACACATTACAAATACACATAATATACAAATAAAACAAACAGTG